GCTTCAGCTCCATGGGATAGTGAGCAAACCCTAAAGCCTAAACCTTAACCCCCCCAAACCCTTAAGCCCTAAACCCCAAACCCTTAAACCCTGGTCAAAGAATTGAATCTTCAAGGTTGAGAGACTTCAACTGAAACTTTGTGGATCTTCATGGCTTGGACGTTCGATCTTTAGGGTTTAGGCTTTAGGGTTCTCCTTTGGCATTTGGGTCTCTGGGCCTGGACAACCGGATCTGGGATGAAGGCTTGAGGTTCAGGCACTACTGCATTTTCGGGATTTCAAATTCTATAGGGGCTTATGGATTAGGGGTTCGGGTTCTACAGGGGTCGGGAGTTTGGGGCTTCGGGTGCCAAGGTTTATGAGACGTAAGACGTATGCCGTGTCGTGACAGCCCGGAAGCCTCAAGTTTGGGGTTTAGGGTTTAGGTTTTAGGGTTTAGGGTTTAGGGTTTAGTGTAGGGGTTTAGGGTTTAGTGTGTAGGGGTTTAGGGTTTAGTGTGTAGGGGTTTTTTTGGGTGGGATTTAGGGGCCTGGAGAACTGGAGTAAGGTTTTGGACTCTTTTTACAGTTTATCTCATGATAAGGAACCCAAAGGTGTAGTATGGGTAAGTGTTCCGGCCCCAGTAATGTTTTTCTTAGGGGTTGAGGGTTGAGGGCTTAGGGGTAGGGTTAAATATGCCACCTTTGATCAAACTGTCAGTCCGGCCGGGGAGCAAGCGCCGATTTCGTGTACTGCTTCAGGCTCACGAAAGACCTCTGCATGCCGTGGAAGAGGCTTCACAAGCGCAGGTCGAGGCTGGCTCTTCACAGAAGCTCCATAACCCTAAACCCTACTTGGAGGTTTATGGGTAGTTATAAGTGGGGTTATAATTAGGGAAACTATAGTTATAACCCATATTAAGGGATTTATAACCCCAATTATAACTACCCATGAACCTCCAAGTAACCCTAAACCCTATACCCCAAACGCTCCATGCACGTGTCCTTGCCACGCTTTTTGTCCCAGCCAAACCGGGCCCGCTAGAGACCTGAAGTCTTCTGGTCAACGACGGTTGAAGCTGCGATTCAAAGACCTCCGCCGTGTAAGGCGGTGTACAGGGGATTTATGGTCCAAACAATACTAGAGTCGCATTCTTCCTCCTGATTCGGATCGCACTTGTCCCCCAGCTCTGTCCTCAACTCGCTTTCGCTCACTGCGCTCGCCTCTTCCTGAAGCTCGGCACACTTCTTCGTCTCACGACTGGTGCGCCTCTTCTGAACGAAGCGCTTCAGGAGCATTCCAACCGTCACAATGATCGGAGCGGCGGTGCCCAAGGACGCGATGGCACCCACGAGCCCGGCAATGCCAATGGCGGTGCTTGCGATGAGAACCTCTACAAGCCCCATGACACCACGACAAAAAAAATCAAGACTATGGACTATGTCATACTCCCTGCGTTACTATCGAAAGCAGAAACCATCAGAGAATGATGCCTATAAACAGCACCCAGTCCTTGCGGTTGAACATGTTCAGCTCCAGCAAGCACAGAGCCTGGGCTTCAGCTCCAGGGCTGTTCGCTGCTCGCGCTTCCTGAAGCTGACGCTTCAGCTCATTCCGGTCCAGGTGGCTGTTCATCCCACCTGGTTCCCTGTTGGGGCTACGTTGAAGATGATCATATTTAATACTTCTTGGGCTTTTTTTATGAAAACAAGCATGTAAAATTGTATCCAACAGGGACCCAGCCACTTTGAAGAGTGAGGATAATCCCCACTGGCGTTGTCTCGGCCAGTGCTTCTGCAACATCTGTCACCACCGCGCCAACAAGAGATGCACCGCTCTTCCCAAGGGAAACCCAATCGCCAACCTTCGTGGCATACCATGCCACACTATACTTTTTACTGAACTATACTATACTTTACTGTACTGTACTATACTATACTGTACTATACTATACTGAACTATACTATACTCTACCATACCATAATATACTGTACTATGCTCTACTAAGCAAAACCTAAACCCTGAACCCTAGACCTTAAACCCTAAACCCTAAACCCTAGATCCTAAACCCTAAACCCTCAACCCTAAACCCTAGACCCTAAACCTAAACCCTAGACCCTGAAAGGTCAACCCAATCGCCAACCTTCGTCGCCCGACTCTGTAAGGTGACAGGTCCAGACTCCACCGCCGAGCTGTTGCACTGCACTTCGGTTTCAAGATCTTCCTGAGCTTAGGGTTTAGGGTTTAGGATTTAGGATTTAAATCTTCCTGAGCTTAGGGGTGCAGGGTTTAGGGTTTAGGATTTAGGGTTAAGGATGTAGGGTTTAGGGTTTAGGGTTTAGGATTTAGGTTTAGGGTTTAGCTTCTCCAATACGCAGGCCCAAAAAAAAATACTCAAACTTTCTATCATAGGCTAGATATATATATATATATATATATACATATACGGACATTAAAATTAAATCTCTCCCATGGGCTAAGTAAGCTTCATGAAGGTCAGCATTCAGGGGATTCATGACCCAATTGAGCTCTTCCGTGGCTTTGGGCTCGCCACATTTCACGGCCAGCAGGGATCGGAGCGCGTTGGCATCCTTGCTCGTTGCGGCCTCAATCTCATCCTCGAAATCCGCTTCAGATCGCATCGAGGTGCACAGAGGAAGCATTTGACACGAGAAGATCAGGTAGATGTAGAACGCTGACGTCCAGTTTTTCCGCCATGGCTGGAACAACAGTCAGTGATTTCACGTAAATGTAGACAACGGTTTTTTATCACATCTTCCAGCCGCCATGGACATGACATTGGGCAGTCAACCAATAAGCAAAGTAGTCTGAAGCTGGAGCATCCCTGAACCCTAAACCCTACACTGTACTACAGTGTGCTACCAGTATATAAGCAGCAGGACCACCTTCAGCATTGGTGTCTCCTCACTGAGCCGCGGACCAGGGCATTCGTAATAAAACTACATCTGCTTTGGCACTGCTTTCTTTGCGCATGCATTTTCGAACGATGTTGACGGTGGAAGCTCAGATAAAGTACTAAATCAGCTTTCGTTGCAGTTGCAACTCTGTCGATGCCAAAAGTTTACCGTACGCATCTGCAACGCCGGATCATCGCATGTATCTATCCTCTTAAGCCAGAAAGAAGAATACATTTGTTTGGTGCACCCACGCACCGACACATGATCAAGGGCGTGGGGGCGTCGGGCACTGAGGCATCGGCTCACTGTCACTTGCACCGAAGCTCGCGCTCTTTTCGACGCAGCATTAGCGCGTTCAGCTCAGGGTCTGCCAAGCTGAAGGTGGTTTCGATACGGGCTTCTACAAGGGCTAGCGGCTACCATAAGAGTTATGACTGTAAGGGCTACTACAAGAGTGGTAACTATAAGGGTTACGATACGGGCCAAAAATGAGAGTCCATGATGAGCTGCGCTGGGGCAGCGTTGCAGGGTTGCGGCGCGCTGTGCCGGACAGGGTGATCCTCTGCCTGCAGCACCAGGATTTTGGGAGCCTGCCGGTGCCCAAAACTCCATGGCAAGGCTGTCAGCGTCACATGTCACCCAAGCACCACGCGAGGAGTAAGAGGCCTTCCTTGAACGGAGGCCTCTCTACCGGTCTCAGGTGCAGAAATACTGGTCCTGGCCGCACTGCGCACATTCGGTGTCTTCCTGGTGATCTCTGGTACTGCAGCAGGAGTCCCACCAAGCCGCAAACGCACATCGATACTCCCCGTTGTTCTTCCCGAGAGCATCGTATGCACGGGCACATTTAGGGTTGCTCTTTGTGTAATAGTCGCCATTAAACTCCTGGACGCAGGATTTCTTGAAGTAACCTCTCGGACACTTCATTTGGATGAGGTCGAACGTGTTCTGGCAAAGTTCATGTACTTCCCAATTGGGCAGTACACCCGTTGCATGCAAGGTTCCGTAGATCACCATTTTCACAAGCCCATCATCCTGTGCAAAGCCGGCTATTGCCCTCACAGCCGATTCATGAAGGTGCTTTCCCGCGATCTCCGTTCCTGCACACCTCTGCCAGCATGCGTTGGAAAGAGCTTTCGTCGGCTTGGCACCATAATTTAGTGCTGGAATCTGCTGTGGCAAAGTCTGGCTCTCACAGGTTCCTGGCATGGCTCCAAGAACTGTGACTCTTGAGACCCAGATTCATGGTAGTTCTAAGTAGAGTTATAAATCCCCTAGTATGGATTATAACTATAGTTGCCCTGCTTATAATCCCACTTATAACACCCATGAACCTCCAAGCCTCCAAGTAGCTGGATTAGAAAGAACCAGACTGGATGCAGCCTAAGAGCCGGTGCGGGTCTCATTCGCGTTCAAAGTGTTATGGGCATGGATCTTCTGATGCAGTGTCTGCGCGCCACGCCCTGACCAGCCCAGGCCAAAGCGCAACCAAACAACCAAGGCTGCGAACCGCGGCATCGAAGGTCTGACAAACAACGCGACAAGTTTGCACCAACGGCTTCAATCTATTGTTGCGAGTCGGAACAAATCCAGAGCCGAAACTCCTTGTGCCTGTGAGACATGTAAAGAAAACATAGCACACGACGAGAAGGCCGCACAAACGAGGGATCTTTCCATCGATGCTGAGTTTCAGCCATCTTCTGCTATCGGCTCGCAGTCAACTCATGTGACATCTGGCTGCTGTGCAAACGTTCGTTGCGAGTACCTGAAACAATTGGGTTCTTGTTAAAGGATTTAATTTAAGTTACCATAATAAGGAAACCATATTATTTACTAGAGATCCCTATTA